TTAAAGCCATGCGATTGTATTCAGTATTGAATGTCATCGTTGTTTGGTTTCAATAATGTTTTATCAAACAAAAATGATTATGATCAATTTTACAATTAAACTTCAACTTATATACAATTTTAACGCACATTGTTTTCAATTTGATGTAATTTACTAATAATGATATATTGAGTTATTTTGAAATTCTTGGTAAATCCTTTTAATCATTAATTATTAAATTACAGTATGTGTTATACAAATGTGTTATAAGCCCACACATTAGAGCTGTGTTATATTTATTTAACAATAAAGTACCATAATTAATTAAAATTGATCGTATTGTATACTGAATGAATTAATAATATTTAATAATAAAGTATCAAGTGTGTATTTCGCACACTTAATTATATTTCATTGTACAATATTATATTAACTTCCAGTGCAACTGTCCAAAGATACATGGTAATGGAAACTACACTAGTGCACTTGTTACTTTTATATTTGCCCTTTTAATTTCATCTAGATATTATTTATTGTAGATTTGATTAATTACATGACCATAATGCATTTATTGACACAGGTTTTTCAAACATATGCCATCAAACTGACAAATAATTTATTGATAATAATTGTTAAATACAATGACAATTAATCTAAATAAATTTTAAATCAGAACAATATGTTATTATATAGGTATTTATATTACTTAAAAATAATTTTATATTTGTTTTTGTTAAACAAAAGTAGTAAATCGTAATTTAAATAATCATAATTAAATATTTGCAGTTATTGAGTAATTTTGATTTTTGAATAAATTAAACCAAGTACAAAGGTCTTAATAATTACAATTAATTTAATTATGTTTTACTCTTAATAATTTTCAATAAATGATACTGTAAATAATTATTATAATTTTAATAAGTAAAATAAAACTCAAATATGTTCAATAGTAATTTAATAAACAGCGATTCAAGCACAACTAAATTTTTACAACACAATATTTTTGATCACAAAAATCATATTAATTGATAAGATCAAATTTCTTAATTAAGTTTTGAAAATAGTATTGTATTAAAGCATAAACGAGGTAACATATCAAAAATTGTTTGTTCAATAAAATAACTTTTTGTAATGCAATATTTTATTCAACTTTAAAATTACAAACAAATATTATCGATTTTATTCAACATAGTCAATAAGTTTTAAAATAATGTTAATTAAATTTGAGCTTGGTCACACGTTCAATCCACGATATATACGGCGCAACTTTGGTAAACACACTAGGACTATCATAGGTGGCGCAACCATCACCGCTTGTAAACGAGGTTAAACCATAAACCACCCAGGCACCATTGGCCAGTTGGTAATTCAAGGGGCCACCACTATCACCATGGCAAATATTATGACCAGCCTCTTGATAGCCGGCACATAACTGGCCGCTGGCATCAAACAGGTAGTCCCACCTGCGTTTACACACGGCGTTATTGACTACTGGCAACGCTATCTGGTTTGATTGTCCGGCGGTCCACTCGTGTCCGACGTATAGCCCCAACCGGTGGTCTCGACCATTGTGCCAGGTGCTAAATTTAAAGTACCTGGTGGCATACATATAGGCTGAAGGTAACTGTGTTGGCCTTGTAAATCAAGCGGCTCGGTTAGTTTGTATAGAGCTAGATCGTTTTTAAAACTGGTGCCATTGGTTCGCCGGGACAGATACGTTTACCATTTGTGTTTATATGCGACCCCGATATGGGTCGCCAGGCGTTTAATAAATATAA